AATCACTCCAGGGCTGGCATCGGACACTGCATTGGGAGAACCACGTTTTTTGTGTAAGTACACATTAAGCACTCCAGGGCTGGCACCGGAGACTGCATTGGGAGAACCACGTTTTTTGTGTAAGTACACATTAAGCACTCCAGGGCTGGCACCGGAGACTGCATTGGGAGAACCACGTTTTTTGTGTAAGTACACATTAAGCACTCCAGGGCTGGCACCAAAGACTACATAGGGAGAACCACGTTTTTTGTATAAGGACACATTAATCACTTCAGGGCTAGCACCAGAGACTGCGTGTGTATGTTGCTCATTGCGGAAAATTTTATGTTCAAACATACACTCACTGTATAAATACTTTAAACCTGACAGGTTTCCATACATATTATGCAATATATGTATATATAGCTTGCATGTCACATAAGACACGCCCCTTTTCTACTGAAAATTCGACGGATTTCTTGGAAAGAAACCCTGCAATGAGTTGATTTTTATTGATGGGCAAATATTCTCGGCATTACAGATGGAAAATACATTACAGACTAAAGTGGCTAAATGCGGAACCAGACGCAAAAACACACACACACTTTCTAACAGAAACACAGTTTTAACATACTCATTGGGAACTTTGCAATTTGTGTTATGAATTAAACGTTTCTTGAAGCTGGAATAAAAACACTTCTTGTGTGTACCACCCCTTCGTGGCGCCAGCTCTGAATCACTCTGGCGTGGTAAGTAATTAGTAAATCTGACGTAAGTGTTAACCTGTCCACTGATATATTTTCAAAAAATATGAAAAGTTATTTTTTTTATGTATCTTTACTCAGAACAGAAAGGTTCAGTTCATTATTTCTATATTTACTTTAAAACTCTACGAGATTCACTATTCATAGTTAATAGCTTCAAAATAGGTTCATTCCCAACGAATGGGTGAAACATTATCACCAAATTTTAAGTTTAATTTCAAATTTCGTTTTACGATTTAAAGTATACGTAATGATCGTCTGCACATCATACACGTAAGCACTTACCTGAGAACGTTGTTAGTCATTATGATATATGTGAATTGTTGGTGTCGCTTTCAATAATTATGATTGTATAAATTGTTGGTGTAACATTTGATTGAAACGTTTGGGATTTTACGAGTACAGTTGTAAAGTCTGTTTGTTTAACGAAAATATGCATTTGTAGAATTTAGAAATTTGCGTTGATCTGCAATAAATGAAAATACGTAGACGAAAAATCGCGGATCGACAACATCGTATTAAAACAAAAGTGGAAGAATTTATATGGTAATAATATAGCGTTACTAAAGTATATTTAATAATATATGTCGTCAAAAGATGGCGCCTTAAAACATTAATAAAATGTATCTTCAGAAAATGACGCTTTTCAAGCTTAAAATAATGATTACGCGTATCTTCTGAGGATGGCGCTGTTGAAGCCTACCTAGAGTGGTGATATGGATCGATAGGAAAAGTACTACCAAAGTTAATATATGACACATCTATAACATTTATTGTTAAAAGATGGCAATTTAAATCTTATAAAGTGGTACCATTGGTCATTAAAGGATACTGCTTTTAAAAGTTAGCAACTTGTAATAACTTCTTGTGGAAAGGTCGCGTTTTAATAAAGCTTATCTAAAAATCGAGTGGTAACATGTATCATCAAAAGATGGCGCTTATATATTGTAATGGTATTTTTGTGTTTAGAGAAAGTGAAACTATTTTAACAGAAATCGTTAGAGACTGCAAAATAAATGCTTAACTCTACAAAAAGTTATAAATACAGGATATTTTAGTTATGCAACAGCTATTGTACATTTGAATATTTGTGAAAAATAAAAATTTGTTTTTATATGACATGTATTTTGGAGTCGTATTTAAAAGTTTTAAATGCTATTACTGTCTTCATCTTTCTATATCTAAGTTATTAGGCTTGAACAACAATTTATGCTGAAAATAGAAGTGTAAAGTCTTTTACCAATAAAGTTAAAAAATGACCCCACAAAAAAAGCCAGAATTTTATGAAATTATAAAAAAAAACACAAAGGTTAGTCGTAATATCAATTTTATGTTCTCAGTTTTGCGCATTTTCTAAGAATTTAACTTCTTTGTGTTAACTATTTTTTATTTAAAAGTGAGATACTAAAATATATATATTTGCGTTGATTTGATTCGTTTCATAGAGAGGGCCCTCAGGGTGTTTTTAAAAAAAAGGCAGCCATGTAAAGTAGGTATTTGAATATCATTGTTGTATTTATGTAGGCTAAAATTAAAAGCATGTTAAAATATTATTTCGAATTGATATATTACAAATGTGGGTTCATACTGATATGTATTTGCGCAGCAATTGCAAGAAAAGAGTCGTGAAAGAAAGCTGGAAAAGTTTTTCCTTTACAGTTTTTCTTTGCTTTTGAAAGTTTTTTTTAACACTAACGTACATTTGAAAAATGTTAAAATAGCACGTTACCTAGATACCAACTTCGTTAGTGACAAAAAGTTAGTCCTAAGACTTAAAGCTCTAAAATGTCAATTGTGGAATGTAACCTATGCACTAGGCCTACTTATATTTTAACCTAAGTAGGGATAATTTGTATTACGTTACAGCCTGAAATTTCACGTGGTTGTTTTCGTCTGAAAATGTATTTCACAAATATTAGTAATAGCAAGACCAGTTTGTGCTGTACAATGAACATATGCCTCTAAAATATAGTGTGAAGGACGCTGCATCCTTATCCTATCTAAATACGATACAGATACAATTTCACAGAAAATTATAAAGTAAAAACAAAACAAAGGATAACAACGTAACAGCATAATATTACGTGAATAACCTGTTATACATGATATTTTATTTTGGGTAGAATCTAATATGGGTAATATTTTTTAGAATCCGTTGTGGGTATAATCCATTATGAATGATTTTTTTGCAATAGGTAGAGTTTGTTATATTAGGTGTATTTTTGAATTCATTATTGGCAATGCTGTGTATAAATTAATAGCCACATGATTTATTCATCTTTAGGCTCGTGCCTGCTAATCAGTTAGGGTTTTGTCTTGAGTAGTCTTGATTCTTTTAGTTTGTGTGTCTGCTTTGGATAAAGGGGAACAAATGTGATTTGATGTACCTATTTCTGCGGGGTTTTCATCAAGAATTGCAAATTATTTAATACTTTGATTATTTAACAATTGTCCAGTGTTATTTTGTTTTTCTTATAGCTGCTTTGGGAGACAAGATGCGAATTAACGCGTTACTGGTCACAAGCTGCAAGACATTCAGGTGGTCAGTTTGATTCTGTAGCTGAAATTCAGTCATCAGCAGTTAAAGTAGGAACTGTTCCAGAATTTAATAAAATGCTGTGGGTGGATTTCAGGAATAATTAGTGATACGAAGGTCTGAGTGGCAAGTAACAAATATATATATATATATATATAGGATTGCAAAATTCAGCAACCAAAAAACAAACACAAATATATAGCTGTTCTAACCCTATCAGACAAAGATGTCTCGTCTGTATTAGGCTGTTCTAACCCTACCAGACAAAGATGTCTCGTCTGTATTAGGCTTACGTATAAAGTATCTAACATTCAAATCTCTGCGCAGAGCTTGACCAATGGTTCATTGGCTGAGGTCATGAAATACGAGAAATTCGTTTGAATGTAGATGGGGTATTTTACTCTGAACTATAGGACTGTTGCCAGTTTAAACCGTACAAATGATTTATCAGATTAAAATAAACAATAAACCAGAAATGATCCGTTAATTACAGCTCCACCTGTAGAAATATAAATGAATGTTTTCGTCAAGTGCGATTGTTTAACCTGATATAAAACGCTCACTCACGAGAAAAAGAAGGCTGAGTCATTGCTTAGGTGGGTTTTCCAAACTTTCAACAGTCATCTAAACAGATTAAAAAGAGCTAAACTGGGCAGTGACTCATGGGAAGCAAGATGGACTTGAAGCGCTCTTTTACACATTTCTGATTTAAAATCCACAATGGGCGAATTCAGGGGAGTTTTAAACAAAGATTCCATAGAGGTCACCATATATGTATGTATACCACCAGCTTGCTGTAGAAACCACCATATATGTATACCACCAGCTTGCTGTAGAAACCACCATATACGTATACCACCAGCTTGCTGTAGAAACCACCATATATGTACGTATACCACCAGCTTGCTGTAGAAACCACTATATATGTATACCACCAGCTTGCTGTAGAAACCACTATATATGTATACCACCAGCTTGCTTAGAAAACACCATATATGTATGTATACCACCAGCTTGCTGTAGAAACCACCATATATGTATGTATACCACCAGCTTGCTGTAGAAACCACCATATATGTATGTATACCACCAGCTTGCTGTAGAAACCACCATATATGTACGTATACCACCAGCTTGCTGTAGAAACCACTATATATGTATGTATACCACCAGCTTGCTGTAGAAACCACCATATGTATAGATATACCACCAGATTATTATAGAAACCACAATATGCATACCACTAGCTTACCGTAGAAACCACCACACACACACATGTGTGGTGGTTTCGACAGTAAGCTGATGGCATATGTACATATGGTAGTTTCTACAGTAAGCTGGAGGTATACATACATACCACCAGATAGACCACATATGTATACCACCAGAATATACCCACATCACACTTCAAACTTACTTTTTCAGTATGTTTGACCTTTTGGCTGGCTTAGACTAGTTTTTCCACCCACTGCTTGAGGCCGATGTTCGCCATCTATTGTGTGTGTGTGTATGCCGAATTACCTAAGTGTTCTGATTGGATGACGTACATTCGGTAGCAGACTCGGCTGCAAATAATATAAAGTTAACTGCAAAACTTGATCGATTTGCCTCTGGTAGCTCTCAGAACAATTGAATAATAACAATAATAAAAACAGAACTCTGGCAAAAATTTAAGTTATACCTAGTAATTATATCATTCTACGTTTAAATTTAGATGAGCTATGTTCAGTATAAGACAATTGTTGTTGCAACAAACGGCTTATATAAATGTGTTCCGACCACTACTGTGTTATGTGTGTGTGTGTCCCAGTCGGCCTGGTGAGCTTTAATTTGTATTGAACGAAGAATGTTGTCGTCAGTTGATATGAGTAGTGTTAAAAACATAATAGGCCTAATGTAATGTCTTAAGAAACTATAATTAATTGCAGTACAAAAAGTTTGAAAACTTTTTTTTATTTCGATAAAAACCTTTCTTGACTTTATTTTTATTGGTAGACCAAAATGTTTGTACCTATACCCTCGTCTCCCAGTCGGTCAGCGAGAAGTTTACGGGCTTACAATGCTAAAATCCGGGTTCTTCGCCTAAAAGTTCTACAGGATTCACGTACTATACTGAAGCACACCTGCGATAAGCCTAACATAACAAATAACGAAAAGCAGTCCTTTACTTAGTAAGTTCCTCTTCTACCTACGGAACTTTCTCGCATATCTTGTACTTTGTTGAAACACAAATATAATATTCACAAAGCTTAACTAACTGGCTAACAATAACAGACAAACTGACTAAACAACTCACTAGCTCTATAATCAATAATTAGCAGAGACCCGCAAAATATTTCCGGCCAAATTAGTATCTTTATCGTAACAGTACTTTTTTAAATATAACATTTCTAGCACAATACAAACGAATTGTAATCGTAGACAACGAAATGTGTAAATCCACTTGTATATAGGCCTTACTTTATAAATTTTTAACTTATGTTAGGCCTACGTTCGATAAAGAGATAAACTAACACTGTAACCTGTGTACGTTTTTTTTTTACTTTAGTTTAGTTAGGACTAAATTTTACTGTACTTAATACTATCGATAGATAAGCTTATAATGTTATTCTACAACCTAACGTCAAACCTTTTTTAAAAACTTTGATAATTTTTTAAGATTCTGTTGTACAAAATGGTGATATTTACATTCCCTTTTTGTTGTTACTTCTTGTTTCATACAGCAATTGTAGCGACTTCATCACGGAGCTTTGCAGCTCTCTGCCGCAGGCAGACTATTTGTCGTCGAGTGAATAATGCGCATGCGCGGTTTTTCTTGGGGGGAAACATTCTAACTACGCATGTTTATGCAGCAGGTTCTGGTCAGAAAGCGTAACGGTCGTACATACAAACAAGCAGAATAATAGTGTAGAAACTGAATCAACTCTAGCCTAACTCGCTTTCTTCTATCGCTCAAACTGTTCTGAAACTTTGGAGAAAATTCCTTGTGCGCATACTGTGACACTAAGTCTCCCTTTGGCCAAACAACAGTATAAGCGTATAAATTAAAAACATAGTCTATAACAATATGTAGCTGCATACACTAAACAATGTTGCATACGTACGGGCAATAAACAGTGTTACGCATATAAAGGCATTGAACAACGGTACGTATATCAAGGTACTGAACAATGGTACAAATATAAAGGTACTGAACAACGATACATGTTTAAAGGTACTGAACAGTGGTACTTATATAAAGGCACTGAACAACGATACATATATAAAGGTATTGAACAGTGGTACTTATATAAAGGAACTGAACAATGGTACAAATATAAAGGTACTGAACAACGATACATGTTTAAAGGTACTGAACAGTGGTACTTATATAAAGGTATTGAACAATGGTACGTATATAAAGGTACTGAACAGTGTTACTTATATAAATGTACTGAACAACGATACATATATAAAGGTGTTGAACAATGGTATTTATATAAAGGTAATGAACAGTGGTACTTGTATAAAGGTACTGAACAATGGAACGTATATAAAGGTACTGAACAATGGAACGTATATAAAGGTACTGAACAATGGAACTTATATAAAGGTACTGAACAATGGAACTTATATAAAGGTACTGAACAATGGAACGTATATAAAGGTACTGAACAGTGTTACTTATATAAAGATACTGAACAACGATACATATATAAAGGTATTGAAGAGTGGTACTTATATAAAGGTACTGAACAATGGTACGTATATAAAGGTATTGAACAATGGTACATATATAAAGGTACTGAACAGTGGTACTTAGATAAAGGTACTGAACAGTTGTACTTGAATAAAGGTACTGAACAATGGTACATATATAAAGGTATTGAACAATGGTACCTATATTAAGGTACTGAACAGTGGTACTTAGATAAAGGTACTGAACAGTGGTACTTGAATAAATATATTGAACAACGATACATATATAAAGGTATTGAAGAGTGGTACTTGTATAAAGGTACTGAACAATGGTACGTATATAAAGGTATTGAACAGTGGTACTTGTATAAAGGTATTGAACAATGGTACGTATATAAAGGTACTGAACAATGGTACCTATATAAAGGTACTGAACAATGGTACGTATATAAAGGTACTGAACAGTGGTACTTGAATAAAGATATTGAACAATGGTACATATATAAAGGTACTGAACAATGGTACGTATATAAAGGTACTGAACAATCTTCATCTTGAACGAGATCTGAAATGGTCAGGTGCTATGTAGTCCTCTTCCCCCCTGAACAATGCTATGTTTTCTTTGTTTCAGATTTTCGCACAAAGCTACAGAAAGATGTGTCTCATTCGTGTGCAGGCAGGCAATGGTTTGAACTTACTCTTTGCTAAACGTGATCGAAAACATACATACATTGTTCATAAATTAGGTTTAGCGACCAAAATCTGTACGAATGTATTACAGTTATTTGCTTTGATTTCTAGATAAGCTTTCCATGATTCTGACAGGGCCACTCTCGACCCTCGTTGAAAAACTAGCACGGTGATTCGAAGTTTGTAATATTATAAGGGGTAGGGGAGAGCTGTAGTAATTAGCACTGATCACCATACTTTATTTTATGGTAAAGTACTGATGTGTGTTTTATAGTAAAGTACTGATTTGTGTTTTATGGTAAAGTAATGATGTGTGTTTTGTAGTAAAGTACTGATGTGTGTTTTATGGTAAAGTAATGATGTGTGTTTTGTATTAAAGTAATGATGTGTGTTTCATGGTAAAGTACTGATGTGCGTTTATAGAATTGTCATTTTTGTTTTCTTCAATTCTGTAATTATGTGGTTTTTTTAAATTCAGACTTACAAAATCTGATTTTTCTCTCTCTGAAGGAAACAGCGGAATTAACTACCACTTTCGTAGACCACAGAGTATGTTTACAGGCTAACCATTCCTGAAAATCCGAGCCAAATATTTATAAAATAAAAACTACCTCCACCAAAGGAGTTAAATTCTGAATTGAAGATAAAATAAAGTCGAAACCATGGTCGTCAATAAATGAAGTGTTTGTGAAACGTACAGAGTCGTATGAAGCTCTTGTGGCGGCGAGTGTTGCTGGTT